GCAGTATATTCTTCTTGGCCCCTTTCCCTTGGGGCTCCTTCAAACACATATGGAGGTAATTTGTTTGAATTCTTCAGCAGAGAAAGAAATAAGAGGGGGAAAATTACCTTGGGATTTTGTGGGTTGGAAATCAGTTTGAGAGGTTGGGACCAGGGTGGAGGTATGTCTTTTGGGGTACATGGAAGAGGGGTTTCTGTGACAAATGACATTTGAAGAACTTCAAGTAACATGCAAGAATGTGTTTAGAGATTTTATGGAAGTTGCTACGTGACTGTGGAATCAACAATACAAAAGGTCTGTAGCCTCTGTAGTAGAGCTTTCGGTGTTCATAACCCCGCTCAGTAATTGTTGGATAAAACCAATAACACATTGTCACTTTTTCTATTTGTACAGTCTTGCTGTTAGGGGAGCTAACACTGTAAAGTTTGACCCCGGGATGTCACTGGAATAAAGGTTAGTTGTGGAATTACCACATTCACAAGGGATCTTCTCAGTGAGTGTCATTGTGTTAAGCAAATGTCATGACAATAAGCCCTTTGTGTTATGTAACAGTATCTTGTGAAAAAGAGGAAATTGCCCTCTAGACAAGATGTACTCACAGCCAATATTCTTTCTGGATACCTTGTCATGAAACAAAAATGGTTAGTTGTTAGGTAAATTTTCAAGTGGTTAGGAATGATGAGGGAGCTAATGATTCAATGCCACAACGAAAACGGTTGGAATCCCGATGGAATCCCGGTTGTAAAATTCCGTAACAGGGATCTTCCTCGTGAAATCAGCAAACTCAACAATGTAATGGATATCTGGATATCGGAAATATTTCCTAACAGTAACGTTAGCGGAAAGCTTTTGGAGTGTCAAAAATATAAAGTCAATAACATTTTCTTTGAAAATCCAGCTAATAGTTTTTCAGGATACCATCCATCCATCCATCGTCAACTGCTTAGCCTGCGGGGGGTGGGGGGTGTGGAGCCAATCCCAGCTGACATTGGGCGCAAGGCAGGGTACACCCTGGACAGGTCGCCAGTCCATCGCAGTTTTTCAGGATACCTTGTCTTGAAATATAGTCAATCAAGGGTAAATGACCGAACCATGACCTGATGGTGGCATCAGACAAAAGGTCAGAGAAGTCATTAAGAATGATGCTTTGAGGACCACAAATAACCAGAGCAAATTTCATGGCAGTAATTGCTTCCCAAAACATGTTGTTAAGATATTTTGCTTTGGGGTACAAAGTATTTGTTACTTACCAAAAGACTGACCGACATCATTATCCTGAGGCCCCATTGCCAGCAATAAAATACACTATAAAGAAAAAATGTTTTTGATTGTTCTGCATCCATGGTGTCACTTCCAACACTTCAGGGGACGTTGATGGGGATGTTGAGCTGGAAAACCTCCAGGATAGGGTTAAACTGTCAACAAAATGTTATGATCCCTCTGTGTACATTAGACTGTTTCTGGCTCCCGGTCAGTGTAGCCCTGTCTCCATATCAGCTGTAAGGAAGGTTGTGATGGCAGAGATTTGGTCTCCCCCTTGATGTTTACATTCTCCAGACACAGGGGAGGATGAAGACAGAAAGAGGGAAAGAGGGAAACACAGAGAAAGAATTACTTACAGCTGCAGCACTACAACCCAAAGTACTCTAAGACTGAGTGCTTCTGGGCACGTACACAACATATTATGGCTAAAATTACGGCTTAGATTGTGTGTGGATGAGTGAGGGGCAGATATAGAAGACTTACATAACATGTTCAAGGCCTGCTATCTTCGCCTCACTTTTGTTTCAGTCCACTCAAACAGAACATTTACAAGCAACAAATGTTCTCGTAAAGAGAGGGATTAAACATGTGGTGCATTTCTGTGTATATGTAAGTGTTTCAGGCTGATAACGACAGTCCTGGAAACTGATTGTGTGCCATGAGCCAAGTAAAGAAAAACTCTCAGAAAGTCCGAGAGCTTGGCACTGCTAAAAAGCCGGGGTCTCCTGGGGAGCCAGCCATCATCGTGGTGTTCTGTGAATAAGAAAAACATGCCCAGTGGAGCTGTAATGAGGTCACTTATCAGCCAGGGCATTTGGAGGGTGTGCCTAGCTTCCTCTCAGCATCCCTCCATCTGTCAGGGAGAGGACAAATGACCTCAGCAACTACTGCCAATAATGTCATGTGGCGTCAGACTATGACAGGCTTCAAGTTCACTGCAGGAGAGACAGGCCAAACTTTCTGAAGTACAGCCTTTCTAGAATAATGAACCAGGTCAGATTTCTTCTTTTGCTTCTAACGCCTCATAACTTGAGTGAGCATTTAACAAAAACTACAAATTGATTATGGCTGTATTTTCCTCAATAGCTTGACCAAACCACCCCTGGGACAGCCAAAAACAGCTCTCACATTGAAAAAGACAACTCAAAGATGCTCTATAGTGTCAGTACAGTGTTTGTGTGATGAGAAATTACACCAGTTTAGTCATTCAAGGGAAACAGATGTGACTGACAACAATTTTAGTGGGAAAGAGGGTGGTCGTTTACAGTCATTGTGTGTGTGTGTGTGTGTGTGTGTGTGTGTGTGTGTGTGTGTGTATGTGTAGGAGGTAAACAGTTTCTTCAGAGCAACCACAACAGGGCTACTAAGTTCATGAGAAGAATCTGTAAATCACACAGGGTAATTACTTCACAAATAATAGGGGTTAAACTGCGGTGGGAAAACACAACAGCTTTTTCTCTAAACCACATGAAAAGGATTCCATTATTAGAATGTTAAGCGGTAACGTTGATCAAGAAAGCCTCTTTGAATCCCAACAAGAAAAATGGGTCCAGCTGAAAATGTGAAAAAAACAAAGGACAGTGCCATTTGTTGAACTTTTGAATACTAAAAATATACCAGCATGCAGTCTCTATCGCTTTCAATTACAAGTGAAGATATCTTTGAGAAAATCTTGCACCACTGATGGTTTAATGGAGTGGGTTAGGCTTGGTTCCCACACATAAACATTATGTCAAGGTTTTGGCATTGGATGTGGGCATTTGTTAAACAGAGAGAGCAACACTGATGGAATTAAAGGCACTGCCATGTTTGGTAGCAGAGGAGACTTGACACCTTATTTGATCACTTCGATCAAACGTGCACCATATTTGGTTTAGATAGAGGAAGACACAGAGAGAGATGGAAATTATGTACTCAGAGGATGTTAACAACAAAACGCGAGGGTAAGAAATCTAATAGCTACCAAAAGGAATACACCCTGGGTGTAGTCTTGTACACAATTAAGACACTGGAAAGTTATTTAGTCGTAGTCATAACACATGGAAACTGCTACACAACAGTTTGTCATTCCAAGGATGGTCATAACAAGAGAAATAGGCTAGCAACTACGTAAAGTGTGGCTTTAAGCTAAATGTTAACATCAGGATGCTAAAATGCTTACTATGACAGTAATAACAGGTAGATGTTTAACATGTTCTGCATGTTCGCCATCTAAGTTTAGTGTGTTTGTGTGTTAACATTAGCACTGAACAAGTACAACTGAGTATTAAACAAGTACTAAATGAAATGTTGAGGTGATGGCGCTACATAGATATATTAGGGGATCATCTTATTACAAAGTATCTTTAGGGGGACATGTCTATGTAATTTCATGGCAGTCCATCCAGTAGTTGTCAAGATATTTCACTCATATCATTAGTGTATAGCCAATAGGCCATTAATATGTTTACAAAAATCTGTGCCAACTCATGTAGTAAATTTTGAAAATGCATGGATATCTCTACCAAATTTTCTGAAATCCATTCGGCAGTTTTGGAGAAATCACGATATATGATATGATATAAAATCATGATATAATGCACTTACAGTGAGGAAAATAAGTATTTGAACACCCTGCTATTTTGCTAATTCTCCCACTTAGAAATCATGGAGGGGTCTGAAATTGTCATCGTAGGTGCATGTCCACTGTGAGAGACATAATCTAAAATAAAAAAATCCAGAAATCACAATGTATGATTTTTTAACTATTTATATGTATGATACAGCAGCAAATAAGTAAGAAGTGGGAGAACTTGCAAAATAGCAGGGTGTGCAAATACTTATTTTCCTCACTATATAATGTTCTATAAGGAAAAAGTCAGTCAGTCAGTCATCTTCTGAGGACCATGAATAAATTTTATGACTAAAGTGGATGACCAACATTGCCTAGAGAGACATGCTGATAGTGTGTCTACAAAAAACTAAACACTACCACAGAGCACACACTCTGTAGGGTGTAGTCTTGTGCCCAATTAAGGCACTGGAAACAGTTATTTAGTAGTAGTCATAACACAAGACAGCTGTTACACAATAGAATCACCCCTGGTGTGGTCATAAAAACTAACACATTTAGCAGTTTATTAAACTAATCAACTCTAATCTCCACCCGGGCGATGTGCCTGATCCATAGTAAAATCAATCAGCTTAGGATACCATGTGAACACACTGGCCTAAAACCCAACTAATGATATGCTGGCACATACAGTAAATATGAGTTAAATGGTACAACCTGTACACGGTCAGTGTATATATGGTTTATTTAGGTTTTGTGTGGAAACAAAGCTGTCCATAAGGATAATACAAGACACTAAACCCAAATTTTATTGCTTCTAAGCATTCTCATATGTAAATGTACTCTGCCACTTTGGCATACTTTCTGTGTGGAGTCTATATTATTCTAGAGAGCCATTGGGGAGAGGGGTTAAAGCCTGGAATGCACACTATTTCCCCACAGGAAGCTGAGCATGGAAGTCTACCATTGCCCCACGCCCAGATCTCTCCATCTCACGCACAGTTGGTCGACTACTGAATTATAGTATAAGTCAGAGATTCTAAGTCATGTATGACACAGAGTAAAAAACATCACAGTACACTGCATTTGATCTTTTGTGTTTTAGTAAAGACATTTTATTTTTGATATGTCTTAAAAGGTTCATTGTACAAAATTTCACATGACATTACAAAAATATTGAAAGGCATATTTTTTTTAATAAAAATGTACTGAAGCTGTCTGCCTTGAGAGCTTTGTTTTTCCATTAAACTTAATATTCACAAGTTGTCAACTTTACTGGATGACATCTGCCAAGCTTTGCCTCTTTAAAGCAGCATGTTTTACGTTTACACAGGTCTCGACACAAAGTCATAGTGGGCGTTTCTTCAAAAGAAATACTGTGTATAAACACATGAAACAGTATTGTACAATGTATGGTAGCATGCAGAATTTCCTGATGCTGTAAATAGAAGATTTTCAAGACATGTATGAAGAAAAAACTAGTATCCATATAAGCGTCAGATCAAAGCTTGTCTCAGTATCTTAAAGTTGAGTTAGGATGATAATTTCAGTCAGTGGTTTTTTCTTTGCTAAAAAGTTAATTACATTAATGTCATGCAAACATATTATCATCATTATAACTTTAAATTGTACACCAATGTAATGATTTTCATCTATGATAATGCAATTGTATACCAGTGTAATGATTTTGTCTATTAGTTAAATGCAGAGCTTCATTGGAAGCCCTAGTCTATTACTTTCCAAGACTTTAAGAGATATTAAGCGCTTAAAATGTGACAATGAATTGTTTACTTTTTTACTAAATTATGCTTTGGTACTGAAAAGTAACCACTGCTCTAGGAAGATCTGGTCTTTAATTTGAGTATACATGCATGTACAGATACTTTTTTCCACAGTGTTCCCGTCTCAAGTGTCTGTTGGAGCAGGTACCTGTTCTCTGGCTGAAGAGGCACACTTGTAGGCTATAAACACTAAAATATATAGACATGACATTAAAACACACTGACATGCTCACAGAAAGGCCTCACCCAAACACACACACACCCAAACACACCCAAACACACACACACACACGCACGGGACACACACTCTGACCTAAAACTTGTGAGCACCTGTCTGGTACATTTCATTAAATGGCTCAATGAGGGCTCGTCCTACCCAGCAGAAAGAGGCCCACATCTAACACATTCGCTCTCACTGTACTTTCCACCTACTCTAAATTATGTGCACCTTCTATGTAACACTACATTATGGACATAACACAAGCTTACAAAGTCTTACAAAGCTTTCCAAAAGCTTAACTTCAGGTCATTCAAGTGGTGACAAACAGTACTGAGTTTAGCTAAAATATTACTATAAAATCACACATACAATGCTTATGTTCGTAATAAAACCAAACAACATCCTTTATGAAATCCAGGAATTAGTTTTTTTGTCATGTTTCGTTTGTATTAGTCACATAGTGAATGAGTGGCAGGAATATTAGTATAGCTCCCATGCTGAATGCAGCTGAGGGGAGAAAGGCACACACAGCTTTGTGTATAGCTGCCAATTCTCAAGTTTTGTTTTATTTCAGACTTTTGTCCATGGAAAGGCCTTGACAGAGGAGAATCTCCAATAATCTTCATAACATAAACAAACATATGCCCAGTCCTCTCTCTTTTCCACATTAAAATGTCTAGTGAGAATGAGGGAAAAAGATGAACATTTCCGTTGAGAAAGCAAAACTTGCTTGATTGTTTTCCGTGGCCTCTTCTCATCCTCTGAGATGTTCCATATATGTTCCATATTTGTCTGCATTATCCAGATTTTTGAAGTTTATTTCATCCAGTATTGACCAGTGGCTGTAGCAGTGATTTAAATGGCACAGGTCAGGGTTATATAAAGTCAGTTGGCAGTCTTTTCTATGCCATGATGAGATGGTTGCTTCGCTCTCTGATGTCTGCTGGAGGAACGAGATCTTTCTTCACTGGGGTTGGCAACAGGGTAGAACGTCTACCTTTGGGCTTAAACAAATCAGACACAAAGAATACCTGTGGAGGGAATAGAAAAAACCTTAATCACTGCAAAATGGCACATTTGAAATTTGTCTTGGACAGTTCCTCTTCCTTCACAGATCCAGTATGGAGTCACTCAGTGTTCTATATTAGGTCCCCTTCTGTTTCCCATTTACATGCACCTTATTTGCAATTAAATTTGTAAATGCAGTCTCTCCTTCCATTGTAATGTACAGCCATGTTGTGTGTACCTATTGACCTGAGATAATGTTTTTTTTTTTACTTTCTCAACTGAGCAATTAATGTTTCTATCCTGTTTAACAAACTAAGAAGTACTGTATATGCACACATTATTACATTATCATTGTCAGACACAGAGCTTCAGGTGTATGCACACTCCTGTACAGGACAGACTGACCTATACGACCCAATTTTACAGACTCTAGTTTGATGTTAAAACTAGATGCACGGCCCTGCTGAACTGATGAATTACAACATACTTAACTGTCTCTTTTTACTTTTTACTACTCAACGGACAGTGCTTTATGTGCTGCTTTGTTCTTTTTTGTGTTGGTGAAGAACTTTGTACATTAAGTTATAATCGTGTTTTTTGTTTTTTTAACTGGGAAGTTAGAAATAACATCATGAAAATAATGTTTAGACAAGGCCACACAGATTGTTAATGATTTCTGTCGAATCTAATACAGAACTTTATAAAAATACAACATAATAGAAACACTCACTATGCAGTATGCCACCAAGGCTCCCTGCACAAAACCCGCCAGGACATCAGTGGGGTGGTGCTTGTGATCAGAGACACGGGACATGCCGGTATAGAAAGACATCATGATGAGGGTGAACTGGGTCAGAGGGCGCAGCAGGCGAGCTCCGTGCCAAGTGAAACGAGACTGCAGATAAAACTGTAAAAGAGACAGAATTGTGAGTTGATATAGAGAGACACTTGTTGTTTTTAATCTGGTGAAGAATGTGTGTGTGAGTGTGTGTGTGTGTATGTATGTTAAAAACAATTCAATAACTCACCACCAGGTAAAGCATAGTGTACATAGAGAATGATGCATGCCCAGAGAAGAAAGATTTCCTGAGAAGAATGAAGGGCAATCAGCAATGTACCACAGCTTACAATGTAAAAGCTATCACTAGTCAACATGAGTACAAATACATTGTGTAAAAAAAAAAAAAAAAAACTCAAATAGTGTGTTGCACTTTTTTTTTAATTTTTTTTTTTACCTGGCCTCCTGAACTTTGCTCTCTGGCCCCTGACAGTGGTAGTCAGTGATGTAGCCCAGGGAGCAGTTGATAGTGGAGAAGTCTGGTTTGCACACATCGAGGAAGTGAGGGCGCATGCGGCCCACTGACACTTTGGCAATGTCGGTGAAGGACTGGCTGATGGCACAGCCGAAGACGAACACGCCCACCTGCTTGTAGAGAGCAGAAATGTAGGGGTTCCCTACAAAAGACTTGGACCCCTCGTTCAGAAAGTAGATCCTGTAGCTCTCCCCGATGATGATCTGAGGGGACAGAAGAGACGGTAACATCAGTGAATATCGTGGTTTTGACATAGTCCCAGTGCCCACCCTAATTCCTAAGCACTTAATTTACATCTCCTGAGCGCTCAGTGAAAATGTGTGAGTGCAGGAGAGACAATGTATTTTATGAGGAATTGGACAGCACTTTGAAATTGTGTTACTTGGATAGAGGAGTTTGTTTGGCCAGTAAAGTGTACTGCTCATATTACCAATGTAATTTAATGTACAACTGTTTGTTGCTCATCATCTGAAAATATTTGACGCCATAGAATGTTGCTCTTGTAACGTCTTTTTTCATTATCTCATCAAGCTCTTGTGGACATTAAAGTATGTGATTTATTGAGGGTGGACATTTGGAACCGGGCTCTGGAGTGGTCAGACTGGAGAATTTAAGTTATGTATCTGACCAAAATAACTTTTCTAAAGGAGGAAGATGTTATTATGACAGCTAAAAAAGAATCCAGTGATTTCTTGTGAAGTGGTTTACAAAGGGCTACTTTATAGTTGAATGTGTTTACCTGTGGCATTCTACTTCTGAGAGGAAACAGTGGGGCGATGTGGGAGGCAACTCAAACTGCCCGCCATGTATAGTTTTTTCAAAGTGTGTAAATAAACCACTGTCTCAAACAGACGATTGACGTGTAAGGGGAGGTGGATCGCCATAACTCACAACAGCTGTTCAAACTGCAAAAATGCCACCCCAACCCCCTTTATCCCCTGTTGTTTTCAAGGAGCTCACAAATGAAAATGTGAAAGAGGAGTCAGAACGAGAGTTAAGGAGAAGTTCCAGGGATAAAGTGGAGGGATGGAACGCAGAGTGACAGGAAGGCAGGATGGAAAGCAAAAAGAGTATGAATAAAGAAAGGAAATTCATGATCAAGTAGAGTGCAAACAAGGAGAGGAGCTGAAAAGGGGAAGAAAGAGGAAGGTGAGAGGAGAAGAGAGTAGGAGGGAGAGTAGGGAGGTGGCGGGGGAGGCGCCGCTGGTTCTAATCAGCAGAAACGCTGAGCTAGGCGACGTGTCTGATTTTGGTGGCCAGACTCCACCAGGCGCACGTCGGGGGCACGTTTGTTTTTCACCGCTCCGGCTGTCTCTCTGAAACGGCTCCGATTTCACAAGGGATGTCTGGCTGTTTTCATGTTAGTATCTCGGTTTCATCAGACATTCTTTTGAAGGGCGCAGAAATAAGCTTCATTCTGGGAAACACTCTGTGCAGAGGGATAGCCTTTAAGGAGATTTAACAAGCTGATAGAGAGCGTTGTTTCCACCATCCAGGCCTTTGGAGCCAGCTCGATAAAGCCCAGCTGCTTTCATGGGAAAGAGGAGAGGGCGAAAACACATGGAAAACACATCTGGTTCCCCTTGTGTGAAATACTTAATTATGTGAATGAATAAATGAATTGGCATTGTAGGATATGTAGCTGTAATAATGTAACCTCAAGAGATAATCATGGGGGCAAGACGCTGATTTGTGGCTTATGTCAAATGTCTTGTATTTTTCCAAAATGACACAATGGTATTTTCCTTTCTTCACAAAAACATCTGCATAAATTATAAAAGATGTGGCATATTGTGTTTCTCAGATTTATTCAGTGGGAAATCAAGCACTAAATTACCTAATGATGGTGTTTTCTGGTTGAGAACACACAAAGGCTGGCCAGAACGCTCTAGGGGGATGAACTGTAAAGTCACGTTTTGCTAGGGGGAAAATTAGGTATCTGGCAAAGTATTCTTGTTTAGGGCCTTCACCACAATTCCACCCCACCAATTACAGTATTTAACCGAACAACCATTGCGTCAACCATAATTACACAAAGCCAGAACTCCTTCTCACCATGAAAACCCCCGTGGCTCCAAGCCCGTATAGTAATCAGCTCTCCAGGAGCTGGGCACTACGGCTGGCCATGCCATGAGGCAAGGCAGCTTCCCACTGCGGGTCTGCCAGGTGACAATTGCACATGCTATGGCAGTGCTTAGTCACACCATAGAGCAACTAGAAAGGTTCAAGTCTGCCTGCTACTGTTTTTGGTAGCCCATTGCTAACATATTACCTGTTCCTTGGCATTTTCAATGTGTTAGCTAAAGTTGAGACATTGCTAGGTGCTGTTAGGTGTCTAGCACACGGTTGCAAAATTCTGTGCAGTAGCTGGTTGGTTGCTTATTGTGTTACAAGTGTTTTCCTATGCGGTAGCTAGTTGGTTGCTAAGTTGCTGTTAGGATTTTAGCAGTGGTTCCCAGTGTATTTACAGGTGGTTACTACTCGGTTGCTTTTGTGTGTTTTTTAGAGCATTAGTAGGTTGTTGCTAATTGGTTGGTAAGTTGTTACAGTCCAATGAGAAATTTATTTACGATTTAGATTAAGTCAAAGCAAATCTTAAATGGTCACTTTTGTTGTTTCCTCACTTAATCACCCCTAATTAAAATAATTTTGAAAATAGCGCTAGACCCCACCACAGATTTAAAAATTGGCCCATTTGTGATGGGCCAATTTTTGTGAAACAATGACATGTAGGGAATAACTTGTGTGTGGATATGGGTGGGTTTGTTTAAGGGTGTCAGGGTGTAGGGTTGGGTTACATGTTGCTACACTAATTTAGTAGAAATGCAAATGACCAGTACACAACCATGTCAAAACAAAGTCAGAAAAATCGCTTTGGGTCGCAGTTATGTGCGTTAAGTCTAACTGAAATGCTAGCCATTACTAGTTGGTAAGTTGGAAAAATGGAAGCATGTCTTAAACCGTAGCAGAAAGACATCCAAAGCAGACAGAGTGCTTCTGTGCCTCTGCGCAGTGGCACATGGAGAGATTTTGGGATGACAGTTTAGTGTGCAGATTTTGGCTTCATCCCCAGTGTTTTCTCCCAGGAGAATGCAACAAACTACTCAACACTTTATTTGCTCAAGTGCCTTTATCAACTGAGTCATCTTAAGCCCCCAAAGGAAAAGCCTTGAACAAATGCTGTTGACTGTTTTTTATCTAGAACGTGAATCTGAAGCCAATCAGGGGGACTGATAGCAAAGGTATGGAGAGGTGCTGTTTCAGTAATCTGTAGGATCTCAATTTACAACCACAATGAATCAACGGTCACATAGAGCCCTCTAATTGAGTGTGTATTTCCCTGAACATAGGTGCAGCAGGAATGTGTGTGGTTTGGTTGGAGAAAAACATGAACATGTATAAAATCATTACCACATTATTATATTCTTGAAAATGTTATTGTTACCATAAACTAATTAGAACCCCTACTGGGCTTTTTGAGAATTATTACAATGCGTTAAGGATGAGAAATGATGTGATCAACGGTATCAGTGAGTTCTGCTAGTAATGGTGAAGGCTGCTGAAACATAAAGAGTGATGATGACATTAGTGATCAGAGTGAGGTGACTTACAGAGAGGATGGTGATAAGAATACCAGCAGCGCTAAGTACACCGTCGCTAATGGTGTCTCCATTTTTGGCCGGGTACTTGATGGACTCATCATCGCAGTAAAACCCTCTATGGTAAGGCTGAACAGCGCTGGTCTCAATGACCAAGAAAGGCAGGCCAGCTAGTGTGAAGAAGCAGTGTGCGGCACAGAGAGTAAGAAGGGGGGTGGGGATGTGTGAGGGAGAGATAGAGAAAGAGAGAGATGGAGGTGCAGAGTTAATAATACGCAAATTACAGAGGTCGCAGGTACAAGCTAGAGGCAACGAGGGAACATCTGGGACCAGCTCCATCCATTCTGAGGCATTATCTGTGACTAATCAAGAAATAATGACTCCAGTGTTGTTAAATATTCAGTATCAGTGGGGCCTTTTGAGCAGACCTTTGGGTGTATTACAGGACGATACCTGTTTGCTTTTTTGGGGTTTTAGCCTGTTAACTATTAATCATGTACACTTTACTTTAAGGATGGCCATTTCTCATTTGTATTTAGACTGATCTCTAAATCTCCAGGCTGCCATTTCCATTAAATTCACTATTGAATGACAATGAAGTGGCAGACATTTGGAAGTAAAAGGAACCTAAAATAAACACTTAGCCAGCTTACAATTTTAGTTTACAACCGGCTTTATTGTCTTGTGGCAATAATCAACTTATAAATGGCAAATAGCAAAAAACAGTCTTAATATTACCTGTTTTCATAAATAAAAGTGAGAAACAATCCAAAAAACCCAATGGTTTTTAAATGGAAGTGATATAAACAAAAAAAGCAAGTAAATCCTCTATTTACTTGTAAGTATTTTCTTTCCTCCCGAAAAATAAATACAATTCTGTTTAGACAAAACAAGTAATTTAAATAAATTAACTGTGGCTTTGGAAAATTGTAATGGGCATTTTGCACTATTTTCTGACATTTTATAGCATAAATGATTATTCAATTATTCCAGAAAGGTAATCGGCAGCTGCATCTAAGAGTGAACCTTCAAGCTCAGCAAATCCTTGGTATTTTTAGTTATTAAATTACTTAAACAGTTAGTACATTTTCTAGGGAATAAATGGAAAGCAATGGCTTCCTAGGCTCCAGGGGTAGGAAATCAGTCTGAAAGCTTATGGTAACGTACAGTAACTTTGGAAAATGGCTGGCAGTACTATACATGATTTACAGCTAATGAGGTACAACATGCGAAACCACTGAGTGTGAGTCAGAGCCTGTTGAACCAATCATGTTTTTTAAGGTGTCACAAGCCAACCATTGGATGGATAGAGTGTCCCAAAATATGTTCTCAAGTTCTCTTGCAGTACCACAGCAGGACTTACTGAGACCACGGGCACAGTGAAGCCCACAGCTGTGAGGATGGTGGTGGACACTGTGCTGCCCTTATAGGGCAGCCTGATGCTGTTGTCATTGCAGAAGAATCCTCTCTGGTAAGGCGGGAAGGGAGATTTGTGCAAAAACACGGCAACAAGCAACACTGTATGGTTGGACACACACGAGCAGAGGTCAGACAGCTCTTTAAACCAAAACAGTGGACAGCTGCATCAATGAACATAATCAACAGGAAGACAAACAGAAAAGCACACAGAGGCACAGACAGACAGACATCTCAGTCACACAAACAGGTTAAAACCTCCATGCAGACATGTGTTCAAGTTATATTCTATTTTCAAATCTGACACTGATGCTGCAATGAGAAAATGACCAACAAATGCCAAAATCAAAGCTACGTCATTGTTTTAAATTTAAGTGAAGCTTTTACGCTTAGAATAACATTAACTGAACTCAAGCAGACTGTTGGCGCTAAAAGGGTTGGATGTGTCCTGTTCTGGAAAGTCCATGCTGCGAACTGACAAGAGAAAAACCCCACAAGCACTTTAGTCTTTCTTCCTTTTCTGTCGGGGCTTTCAAGTGCACTTAAAAAGGCCCACGTTAAGATGCCTTGGGGGGTGTCTGATCAATTTAGTGTCTTTCACCATGTAAAGTGGCAAAAAGATCTTATTTATCTCCCGACAACAAACATAGAGTGGGTGTTGTCAAAATGGAAGCTAAAAAGGACAGCTTATTTCCCCCATTTATCAAAGGCTTCATTGAAGGACTTTGAAATTTGAGTGTGGACGTGGTACCCAGGAGAGGCCTCAAATCTTTGACAGAATTTGGAAAACACACTTTCAAATCACTTCAAAGCAGCATTTAACTGACGATGGAGCTTTCAAGTCACACTCTGAATAATTCTGCAATCTGCCGATACAAAAGAAAGCAAACATCAGCGCTCTCTTTCTCACATCCTATGTCTCGCGGTCTCAAAAGCTCAAAAGCACCGGGGCGTAGAGGTCAGTGCTGAGAGCGGCTGAAGGTGGAATGGTTGTGGTTGGGGGGCATGATTTCTCAAACCAAATGTCAACACACGCTTCAGTTGCTGAGCCCCTCAACCCCTTACATCCACACACACAGCTGATGTTTGGCCTTTGAAGGTCCAGCTGGGTTGAGCTCACATTACAGACAGAGCTCTGCTGTCTGATGGGAACTCCAGAAGACCTACTTTCAGCAGGATTCACATTATTAACTGTCTCGTTTCATTCTCGCTCTCCAAACAAATACCTAGATGGAGCTACAGTCTGCTCCAAATCAAGTCTGGTGGTGAGAGAAAAAGCAAGGTGCTACCTCTTAAGAGTTTGTAACATTAAATATAGTAAAAATATACAGTACTTGTGTGCTAAATCCTAATCGTCTAGTCCCTTCAGTTTGCTTGGCCTAGCCATGAGCAGAACCACACAGGGACTTTGGCTGCCCAGACAACAAAAAAAAAAAGAAAAGCATAAGCTGCTGAAAGTGCTGGATGTGAAAAACATTAAGCTCAGAGTCCTGACCCCTGCAAATGCCTCAAAACACATTCACAGACCTGATACAAACCACAAGGCCAGAGGCAGAGGGCAGAGATTGATAGACAGAGAGGTGGCAAATGGATTTATGAAATAAAGTGTCCACAGGTTTTAAGGGACCTGCACGGGTCAAGTGCTTCAAATAGGTGACTGGAAAGAACACAACCCCAACGAGACTTAGTCAGGTCCTGTTTTCCAGACATTAAGCGAGGGTTTTCTTATCCGTTCAGTCCTCCGACCCCTTCCATCCGTCTAAACAGTGCAGTATGAGTACTGAGTTCAGCATTTTAGGATTTTCCCCTCCTACTCTTCCTCCTTTCCCGCCTGTCACAGCCGGGGAAGAGGAGGGGGAGGGTGTCCTTGTCCTGCCAACAACAACACCAGTCAGCAGGCGTGGGTATGTCTTTTGCATTAGCTTAAAACTGACCCAAAGACAACAGAAACAAACAAAACCGAATTGGAGCTGGAGGGAGAAGTTCCTCGTGTCAACGTCAGGGTCCTTCTGTTTGTCTTTGCCCTAAAGCAGTATGCTTAACAATCACCTGGGGTGACTGAAAAGACACTGTAAATGACGAATGATGATGACTTTTTCTGCACATAACTGTGCGCCGACTCACAACAAAATATGGGAGAAAACCTATTATTAAGACTACACTAGTTAGAATTTCCTACACTCGCCCGTTTGCCTTTCCCCCAGTTCAGCACTGGCAGCTCCATGTCACTGCAGTTTGTGGAAACTAGAATCAATTCAGCGTGAGGGTTACACATTAAGTCCCCACCATATTTTGGAGGCATTTGCCAAAAACACCAAGTGTGACTATTAAAATAAACAGACGCACATTTTCCACTTGAAGGGATCGCTCGCTGTCTGGCGTAGAAATGTATACATGTCTGAGGCAGTGGTGGTGTATACACAGATGCAGTTGTTTTTACTTGCAGCAGCCCCCACACGACCTGCACCCTGTCGATCTGCCTGGCCTGCTACAAAACATAGTTTATAGTTTCATGGTGGAAGGGAAAGCGTGTCTACCTGCTTGGGTTAAATAAGAGCACATTTGCATGGAATTGCTTGTGGCTACAACTGCTGCTTGTCACCTGTTCTTTGCTCTATTTATTATTCACATTTCTTACATTTCTTAATTACACAGAAGGCAGTTTACATATTGTTCCTCCTCCCTCCTATTGCCCGCACACACGCACGCACGCACGCACAGCAATGCTGACAATACATTAGCACTAACACATACATATTGTATATACAAACATAAATCATACAATGTCACATTTCAAGTACATGCTTGTAGCATGTACACACCTTAATTGCAAAAATACTCATCATTCAGTATCACCTGGGGAACGTCTTCACACTGTACATGCACAGTAGGAAAGATTAATTTAGGGTTAACTCAATTCAAGCATTTGAAACAGCTGATATCATTTTGCCTGGGATGGACTGGCGACCTGTCCAGGGTGTACCCTGCCTTTCGCCCGATGTCAGCTTGGATAGGCTCCAGCCCCCTGAGATCCTGTACGCAGGATAAGCGGTTGACGATGGATGGATATCATTTTGTAGGCTACCTCTATCTTTTGATATCCAAACATGCTATAAAATGTATCACATAACTCTTACTTTGTTTTTCTTTTGGTATTTGATTAGTTGTAAAGTGGGACAAATTAAAATGTCTGTACAGTTTGAACATTCCTTAAAACGAAACTTTACTAATATCCCAGTGCAACTTTGTACTTGCTTCACTATTTTTTTCCAGGACTTCCAACTAAAGCAGACCCTTCAACCTTAATTTACCACTTCAACTCTTTCAGTGCTTGACGTTCAACTGAATCTTCAACTCTTTTAAAGTACTTTCACTTCAATTACTATTTCAACAATATTCAGTACTAAACGCAACCTCAAACTTCTTTCAGCACCTCCATTTTAACTTTTATTAACAAACATTTAAATTAAATGGTCAGTTCACCCAAACAAATATTTGGGTGAACTGACCATTTAACTCCAACTGTCCACACTGTTTACCTGGCTGCTTAACCATGCTTTACCTAGCGCTGAACCAGGGCAAAAAACACACAAACATTCTAAGATGATTAATTGGAAAACATGAAAGCCACCTGCTACAGCTTAATCTAAACTGAAACTGATCACCTCACCAGGGCTTCAAGCAGAAAAATAAATAAATAAATAAAAAAAATAAAACAATCAGCTTTCCTCAGTATTATTTGTCAGCATTCAATTACAAACGCCACTGAATTACTACTCTAGAGTAGTAACTAATGTTATCTTTACTGGCACATCCCTGGATGCAGTTCTACTAGAACTAAAAATGCAAGAATGGAGGAGAGGTGATTACCATTACCAGCTCGACATTTCCTCCTTGTGGTTGCTCTCTTTACACCGCATCTTTAGCCAGGAAAACACTGCTGGTTTTGCTTACATGCTTCCCTGTGGGAAGTTCCATACAAATCATGGGGATTTACCTATGGGATTTACCCTCCATAGAGACAAAAACTACACCAAAGCTAAATATAGCTGGTCAGAAATAGACTGTTTATACTGTAGATCTTTCAAGGAATTGTTAACAATAGCGGGTGCTTTTCCCTTGCAGTTGCACCAATGTTATTATATATTTGAACACTGCTTTGCTATTTGCAATCACACCAATGTTCCACAGAACAAACCATTGGAAACATGTCAGAGAAAAAAATAAAATAGTGAGGAAACTGGTCAATCAAATCAAAGGTTTAAGTCCCAAGGATGGGAAAACATTTTGTGTGACTTTCGGCTTCAAATTTCAGTGCAAACCCTCCAATTACAACCTTAACTCAGTGTCTGCAGCTGTTGAACATGCACACTCAGGTCTGACCTTTTCACCACTTCCCTTAATTACGCCACACACACACACACACACACACACACAAATATATTATGCCAGATGTTGAGATCAAGGGAATTCCTGCTGGTCTGGAATGTGAGCCATTCTGGAAAATATAATGAGGAATCAAAGCAAGCAGAGGTACAGTACAGGTGAGGGTGGAGACCAAAGATATATAATCCCTCCTGGAGCAATTTATTAGTTTCCACTTTGCCAGCAGTATTTTTCTTTGGAAAAGGAAAACAGACTTCCACTAGCTAAGCTAATTTTTGGAAAATATGTAGCTTAATAGAGCTCTTACAGCTGAATGTGTAGGCTACAGTTGCTAATGGGGCATTAGCAAATGTAGACTACACTTGTTGCTTTGGTAGCACAGCTTTTCCAGCTGGTGTAGCTAAAACATTTCAAACAGTTTTTCAGTATCTTAACATCAATCGTGTCAATAAAGGTTAATTAATTTAACTGACATTAAGCTTGTTTATGAGGACAGTATTATTATTTATTATAACCTTTATTTAACCAGGAAAGGTCTAATTGAGATTTAAAATAAAATCTCTTTTACAAGAGCAACCTGGCCAAAGACATGCAGCAGTACAATTAACAGGTTTACAGACATAAAAAACATATACCAGTTTACAATTAAAATAAATAATAACTTATAGGATCTTAAAATATCAAAAACAGTCATCAATACAAGTCATAATCAGGAATCAACAACTGCTACAGCCAGGTGTGACTGCCTCCAAGTCAATTAGCAGTAAAAACTATAAACGCGATATGTGATTGATTAAACATGACTTCAATCATATAATAAAGTAAAATATCAACATATGAAAGGAAACAGCTTCATCCTATAGCAGATTAAGACATTATGAGGGTCAAAAAGTTAACTTAATCTTGAAAACGTCTTTAAAAGTAAAAGTCCTATTGGTTACAATAGTAACAGTAAGCTTTAAAAAGGCATAAATTCACTGCCGACAACCAAAAGTAGTAATGTCATTCGGTGATTAACATGCAGTGAGACTCTCACCTAAGAACAAGCAGAAGAGATCCACCCCGACCAGTAACTTTCTCCTGCTGTGGTCTTTGCAGTTATTGTTGTTCAGTGAACTCCCGCCGTTCCTCGTCTCGGCTGCCATAGTTTTCTCATATATCAAACAGCGTTGCATTTAAAACTTATTAAGTGGTTCGAATTTAATAAAGTTTTTAAATCGTGTTACTAGCTGTAGCAGTGCTGCGTTTACTGTATTAAATACTATCTATCTAAGTGGCTCGCGAAACTGCTTGAATCCCAGGGGAGGACTAGTCATAAGTCTGTAATGTTAGTCTGCAACTGAAAAAATAAAATACATTCAATGGAACCACCAGTCCCTGTCTCTCTTACAATCGCAGCACGCTTTCTTCTGACATCCTTTAACTCCTTTTCCTTGGGATATAGTGAAAGTCCTGCGACAGCCTTCCAAGAAAGCCACTCCTCCAGCCCCTCCCCTTTCAATTAATGCCAACTGCTTCTCTCTCTCTCTCACACACACACAGTGCTGGGGGGGATGTTCAAACACTGCAGTAAGGGTGTTTCACAAAGCAAAGTCAGCCAGATAACAATGAAAAGGATCCTGATATGTGAGAACAAGTGGAACATTTATGCAGTAGGAGATCCGTTTTCCACAAGAAGCAGTTTCTCTCTTTACAGAAGTAATTAAAAAAAAAAAAAAAAATGCATTTTAGAGTGTACAACATTGACAACCCTGAAGTGTAAACAAATTTCAAATAACTAAAGACCAACTTGACACAGTGAGCGTGAAATTCTGACAACAGTTATTCTCAGAAGTGGATTACTATAAGTCTGCAGGAGCTACACAGTAAATATTATGATTGTTGCAGCAGTCTGTTTCAAACAGAGCATGCATACAATGTCATAAAAACATAAGAGCATAAATCAATGACAAATATTTATTAGTTGTAACAGAAACGAAAGAAATTCCCAATGCAGAGAACACATTCACAAACCAATCCTTAAATGTAAGCTACTATAAGTGAACAGTTGGCTCCATTATGTCACTGATTTTGGATAAAATGCAATGATTCAATTTGTGCTCCATTAACAGTTACAGTAACATCAGAGAATGAACAACAAAAAAAAAGGATGTGTGTGTGTAAATGTGTAAATGCACCAGTATGCACAACAAACTAAACACAAAGGTCACATCAGCAGCTACTTGTGGTTTCTTTTCTCCACTGTAGACATCAAAACACATTAATACATGACAAACTGGTTTTGATGGCAGATATTCTTCATGGTATTAAATCCCAACAGGTGTACTGTACAGTTTTAGTTTTTCATGCCGTCGTTTCCTGGTTCACCGGATGTGGTAATCAGAAGGTGTCGGCATATAGTGGCGGGGGAGGAAGGAGTTCCAGCTCTGTAAAGTCAACCTCCTGTTCACTGTCATGCAAAACACAGAGACATTACAGTTCATGAGGAGAAAGCCAAACAACCTGAAGTACTTATTTGGTAAAATCTACTCAGATCAACAGAGCAGAGCTTCACTTGCTGATTAGCGGGAACCATCAACACTTACGGATATGGAGGCTCCTCAACAGCACACAAGAAGTCTGGATCAAGACAAGCAGATACAAAAGGTCACATTAACTTTGAACTGTCTCTGCATGACCCTCCCTGTCCATGTCCCCAGGTTACAGGAATCAGATAAGTGTACCCCACAAGTTATTTTCCATTGCAGGCAAGACACCAACAAGTGTTGCATCCTTAAAGACATTTATAAGTACCGTTCTCTTAGCTTCACCATTATCAGTGAGAGTGACATAAGTGGTGACAACAGTGGAGTCATGGAAAAACTTAAACACTGTAAACTTACTTGGTGGCTCAGCACTTTGCATAGGACAGAATGGATAAAATGGAGAAAGGTTTTTTTTCTTTTTGAGCCGTTGATGACAGATTGAATATAACAACATCAGTGGACTTAAAAAGATAACTTTCAAGAAAGTAGTGGTTTAGGTAAGGGTATGACAGTACTGTACTTTGTAGGGGTTGTTCCTCCACTATCAGGGATGTCTCCAAATTCATCTTTGCGGTGTTTAAAAAAGATGGCTAGTTTCTGCAGGGCCTCATGTCTGGTCCTAAAGGTTTTAAGACAAGAAACTCTTGCTTTACTACTGTAACTATTAATTTTCATACTTATCAATGGCCTACAGGGAGCACCTATACAATACATTATAATCCAATACAGTAACCTTGAAATAAACACTAGCTTTATTAAGCTAGTGATGATCAGTGTTTGTGTTGTGCTGAAGCCCTTCATATGTCTTATGGAAGACAAAAGCCAATGGTGATGATAACACAGGGTAAGTGTAATAGAAGTCCAATGAATTCCCAGGCCAGATACGATTCAGTGTTAGGACAACATCATGCTACATGTAAAATGTTCATGTTTTTGTATTAATTTGAAATACCAGAATAACTTTAAATACTTATTAACCACAATTTGGGAACATTATACACATTGACCGACCTCTCTTACTCTTGTTTCAAGAGTCCACACAGTGACCCGGTGAATCGAACCCACTATATTTCAATCATATCTGCTTTCAATCATATCTGCTTGTCATCACTAAATATTACTGCTCCTCTAAAGGTTAGAGCCTACGTCTAAAGCTAGTAAGCAACCCTGGATAAATGACATGATCAAGTCTCCAAGTCCATTACCTCAGTCTGAAGGATTTATTAAGTAACTACAATAACTTGGTTAAGGATGCGAAAACACACTATTTTTCTGAACTCATTACTACACAAACACAATCCCAGGTTTCTGTTTAAGACTATGGATCAGCTGGTAAACCCAACCCCTCCTTGTGCCTCAGCTGGAAGTAATGATGACTGAATTGTTTTTATCTTATTTTACCAATAAGGTGGTGTCAATCAGAGCCTCCATTACCCCCGCGGCCTCTTACTCAGAGGTTCCTCACCAGCAACAAGAGAGTTTTAATCAGTTTTATCCCATTGACTTGTCTGAGCTTTTAAAAACAGTATCACAAATGAGAGTGTCCTCCAGCCCACTTGATGTAATACCTACAAAGTTTTTACTGAAAGTAATGGATTCTGTTGGCCCCATTTGATCTCCGTTTTCAACAGCTCCCTATCTACTGGTTGTGTCCCTGATTATTTTAAAACGGCTTGCGTGAACCCACTTTTAAAGAAACCTGGTTTAGATCCCTCCCTCCCACATAATTTTAGACCAATTTCAAAACTGCCTTTTATTGCAAAGATTCTAGAAAGAATTGTGTCCAAACAGCTGCTCACTGTACTGGAAAATAACAAATTATTTGAAAAGTTTCAGTCTGGTTTCAGGAAGTACCACAGCACTGAGTCACCAATGACCTTTTAATGTCTGTTGATGAAGGCATGTGCTCAGTCCTTGTACTCCTGGACCTTAGCGCTGCTTTTGACACCATTGATCACAACATCATGTTAGACAGACTGAAGCACTGGGTGGGGATCTCTGGTACTGCCCTAGATGGTTTTCATCCTACCTGTCAAATAGGAAGTTTTGCGTGTCTGTAAACAACTATGTCTCTTCGTTCTGTCCAGTTAAATATGGTGTGCCTCAGGGGTCGGTCTTAGGACCCATTTTGTTTTCCTTGTATCTGCTTCCCCTTGGCCATATTATCCATAAACATGGCATTTCTTTTCATATTTATGCTGATGACACACAAATATACTTGCCCGTCAGATCCACAGACCCTGGAATGCTGAGTTCACTTAACAACTGCCTTTGTGAAGTTAAAAAAATGGATGTCAAATAATTTCCTCCAGCTGAACTCAGACAAAACAGAAATCCTGGTCATCGGGTCCCAGCAGATGGCAAATCAAATACTGCCATCTGCTGGTTCCCTAGTAAATCACATTAAGCCTGTGGCAAAGAACCTTGGTGTTTGGTTTGATAGTAATTTAAATTTCGAGCAGCACACCACAAAGCTTGTTCAATCATGTTTTTATCAACTTAGAAATATAGCAAAAATTCGATCCATGTTAACTTTTAAGGACACCAAGACCATTTTACACGCCTTCATCTTATCACGCCTGGATTATTGCAACAGCCTTTTCACCTGTTTAACCCAAAAATCTATTGATCGACTCCAGACTGTCCAGAACTCAGCTGCCAGGCTTTTAACCAGAACAAAGAAATATGACCACATCACCCCTATTTAGCTTCATTACACTGGCTCCCAGTATGTTTTAGAATTCTATTCATCACTTTTAAAGCTCTTCATGGCCTCTCGCCTCTGACCTTTTAGTCCCATACACACCAGCACGTACCTTGAGATCCTCGGGCAGAGGTCTGCTGTCTGTTCCAGAGTCTCGACTGAAAACTAAAGGGGACAGAGCGTTTGCTGTCAGGGGCCCGAGGCTCTGGAACAGCCTGCCCGAGGAAATCAGGTCGGCTGAGTCAGTGAACTCTTAAGTCCCTTCTTAAAACATACTTTTATAGGAGAGCCTTTCCCGATGTTATTGACTTTATTTTATCCCTTTTATTTTATTGTATTTTACTAATTTTATATTTATCTTAAACGTGTATTTTAGTCTTTTCAATGTTTTCATGCTTTTATATTATTGTCTCTTGGGTATTATTGTCTTTACACTTGTTAAAGCACTTTGTAACTTGTTTTTGAAAGGTGCTCTACAAATAAAGATTATTATTATTATTATTAGCTCAACATTTCACTTGATGTTGAAAAGATACTGGTATTTAAAAAAGAACTGTACTGACAGGAAAGAGGCAGGAGGACAAACAGCAAAACCAGCAGGGGCAGTGATGGCGGGGGGCATAAGGCCACTGTGGCTACAGGGCCCAAATATTTTGAGGGGCAAAAGGCCAAACTGAGGGGGTTCAGCAGTCATGGCTGCCATGGCCTCTGCGGAATTCCTGCCCTGATGGTACTACTTGCAAAACATATCTAATCTTGGAGGCTTTAAGGGGCCAAATTTCTTACCAGCATCACACGACAAGGGTAAAACCGCCTTTACCGCTTAAGTGTACTGTCCAAATGCAGGCACGGTTGCAACAAGGTGGCGTATTATTTTAACAAAATATCATATCCCACACAATTATTTCAAACATACAATGTTGAATGGACAAGAAGAACCCTCTCCAATAATTTTGAGCTGCTTTTATTGCAATTGGATGGGTTAGGGCTCTGATTAGGCTATTTGACATTTATATCTGGTAACATTGGCTTAGAAGCATCTCATTTCCAGCTTTAAACTAACCTTTTGGTTCTTTGGCATAGAGATGAAACAATTAGTAAATCAATTTGATGAAGCTATTTTGCTAATAAAAGTTGCTGTTGCAGTTACCAGTTGCTGCTTTTTGTTATACTAAACTGATAATCTTCGGGATTCAGACTGCTAGATGGACTAAAGCTATTTGAATACCTCAGAAATAATTGTTATTGGTCTCTA